AAGCGAAACATCAAAAGAATGGGTCAGTAATTGAAGTAGAACTAGGAAAGGAAACCTCAGGATAGAGTAGGTTAAAGAATGCTTGTCAGTGGTCTATGCTCCTCTATAAGGGGTAACAAGGAATTCGATTGGCTAACCTGATTAATATACAGAGATATCATAACATCATAACATTTGACCTTAACAACTTTCTATCTTAAATAATAATAATAATAGTAATAAGGGATGGAAACATGGAGAATCACGAACACTGTCATCCAAACGATACAAGTATTTATTGACAGTTGTCTACGCAAAATACTAAGGATCTTTTGACCAAACATCATCAAAAACAATCTACTGTGAGCGTGAACAAATTAGATTCCAACGGAGGAAGAAATCATGAAGAAATGGTGTAAGTGGATAGGATACACATCCTAACTGAGTCACAAGACAAGCCGCCACTTGAAACCCTCAAGATCATAGGAAAAGAGGATGGTCAAGAAACACATTATGCCGAGAATTAGAGAAAGATAGGAGAAGAATGAACAACAATTGGACAGAATTGTAAAGGTGGGCCCAGGATAAAGTAGGTTAGAGAATGATTGTCAGTGGTCTATGCTCTTCTATTAGGGGTAACAAGGAATTCGATTGGCTTACCTGATTAATATACAGAGATATCATATCACATAACATTTGACCTTAACAACTTTCTATCTTAAATAATAATAATAATAGTAATAAGGGATGGAAACATGGAGAATCACGAACACTGTCATCCAAACGATACAAGTGTTTATTGACAGTTGTCCACGCAAAAAAACTAAGGATCCCTTGACCTATTGTGGCCGTGGATAAACCAGATTCCAATGGAGGAGGAAATCAGGAAAAAGTGGTGGAAGTTGGTGAGGGACACATTGAGGAATTTGGAAGAAAACATTAAAATAATGGGGCAATAATTGAGGTAGAACTATGAAAAGAAGGCTGAGGATAAAGTAAGTTAGAGAATGCTTGTCAGTGGTTTATGCTCCTCTATTAGGCGTAACAGGGAATTTGATTGATGTTTAACAGATGAACAAATAAGGCAAATAGATAAATAAAAAAAAATCAGTCTTGGTTAACCGACAAGCCTGCTACACATGCACATCGCTGCTTTTTAGGCAACACAAGGACTTTTACTTTAGCCGTGCCCCAATCGAGAACGTACATGTTATCCATTTTGGTCTGCAAGCAGGTAGGAAGTCCAAAAAGCTCGCAGACAAACAGTGGCCCTCGTTCGAGCATTCATGAATCAACAAGATCCCTTCAACCAACCCACTACCCACAATCCCCAATCGTCATGAGCTGCAAGGCTAGCTTACCCAGCCGGACCTGACAACCTGAAATGGATTACCGAGTTACCCAGCAGTGCACTAACTAACAGCCGTTCCAACAGTCTGGCTTCCAACTGCTTTGCGCTGATACAATCGACCGGAGCCCTTAGACCCTATATGAAGCTAAAATTGAATTTGTTCCATAAGGTCAGCCGGAACATACACCCACCCATGGGGTAGATGTCATGAACTCGACCAAGTGCAAGCACTCAGCCAAGCAGGGTTAATCCCACTACATAAGTGGGCAGACATCATTGGTGTTCAGTACCCTTTCAGCACTGGATCACATAACCCAACTGGAGGGGCCTCGACAACAGTGGAGAGCCAGAATGTAGTTCAAAGACCTGTAGTTCATAGATGATCTGGTTCTTCTATCGCACATGCAACAACAAATGCAAAAGAAGACAATCAGTGTAGCAGCAGCCTAGGCAGCAATAGCTCTCAAAGTGTGTAAAGGAAAAATCAAAATTCTCCAAAACAATATACCATATACACCCAACTGCATCATAACACAAGCCCCCAATTGGAGCCCTGAAGGTCAACGGAAAAGAGGAAGGCCAAGAAACTCATTACCAATGAATAACTATTTCTTAAAAAATGGTCCATATCAATTAATATTCATTATGAAATACTGGAGAAACTTTGTACCTCAGGTGGATAATGTTTGTGTGTCGAAGTTTAGTCCTCTGAGATGGATGTTGTTGTTTTTTCTTGGTTGTGAAGAGTTTTATTGCTGTTCTTCTATTGGCCAAAATCATCAGCAATAGAATAATAATATTTCATTGTGTGTTCAGTTTTTTATGTTTACGTAGAGTCTAGTGGACACACTATGGAGATTATGAAACAAATGTCTGAAATGAATCTTTTTCACTGTCAGAGAATGATAGTATTTCATTCAGTTAGTCAGTCAGTCAGTTAGCTACAACACGGAACTTTGTACGAACGTACACTGTTTCGAGTTAGCATACTACGGTAGCATAGAGAGATGCAACGGTCAATTCAAAAGTATGAGCAGTAATGTAAAAGATTACGGTTTGAAGATATGATCGTAGAAGTATAATTCAATGAAATAAGTTCAGAAAGAAAGCCATGTCGTTCAAGGTCTCAAACCATCGGTGACTTAGGTCTTGCGGACCCCGACCAGGTAAATTACACTTACCAATTTGACTTAGCCCAGTAGTCAGTGACTTTATGAATTTGTGCCATATTTTGGTTTGGCCGCCCATAACTTTCTACCTATCTGACTTCTATACCACAAAACATAGTTCGTTGAGGCAGTTGACGGTTGAGCATAGGTAATACATGTCCTAACCATCTCAACTAATGAAGTTTCTCTCATTAGGATAATATTAGTTTTATCCCAACCTAACTACTCATCACCTTAGGTTATTTGGCTATGGAATTTTGTTGGTAAAAAACTACTCGATCGATCAGTAAACAATCAGCCTAATTATGAATGAAACTTTTTCTTCCTTTCAAAGTTGTGATGGCGGTCTGACAATGATCGGTTCATAAAAATATGCTCAACAAAGGTGCAAACAACGACAAGTTTAAGGTCAACAACAACCAATCAAGACCAAGCTTAGCAGAACAAGCTACAGGTCAAACGTGGAGAAATTCGAATACTTCACTTCTTCTATCTGCCTGAAGTTTGTGCTGATGATGTTGTTCAGTAGAAGAACAATGAAAGCTCCACAACCAAAACATCCAGCCAGCTCAGAGAACGAAACACCACCACGCTCAATAGAGTGTCTAGCTACATGAGAAGAAATCTCGAAGTTAATTTGGAGTTCATCTCTATCGAGTGTAAACTATTGTATACAATGGGTGAGGTTGCTCGATACTTTGAACTGATTAAAGTTAGGAGAACAACTGACGAAGTTGTTCAGAAATATCGAAGTTCCTGAGTTAGATCCCTTCGAGCGAGTGTCGTGCATGCGCATTGTTGATGAATCCCATACGAGGACGAAATGGTCATCTACTGCTGACAGGTTTCAACTGGTAGTCCAAAAAATTGATCTATTCATCATTCCAATCGTATCATTAAAAATAAATAGTACATTTTTTAAAGGCTAACGGAGGTTGATTTCAACATTATCAATTAAGGATAATGTTATGCTCGTCAACTGATATGCTCGAAACTACTACGAGTTCACCTTAGTCAGTAAACGTCAGTGAAGACAAATGTCGATAGACTGCTCGACTCCGAGCATTCCAACGCCCCACTACGCTAGAAGAAGAAGTCTTAACAAGACGTAGAAAGTGTATTCTCAGTCAGTCAGTCAGATGCAACGTAGAACGTCGTACGTAAGTACATCAGTTCATGTTGCCATACCACATTAGCACAGAGATGTAATTGTCAATTCAAATCCAATAGTAGAAGAGGTAGTAAAGGTACTAGAAGTAATCGAAGAGGTTAGGATTAGAAGATATTATTCACGAAGTATGATTCAATGAGGAAAGTTTAGAAAGTCAAAACTAGAGGTGTTGAAGAATCCACAAGATTAGGATTTGACAGAACATAAAGAATAAATGCACCGGCGCCATTGCAAACGATTTTGAGCCATGTCATTCTATTCTACTAGCACCCAGAAAATATGAGTTTTCACAAGCACACAAATCGAGTTTACTTATACATGATAGAAACGTCCTTAGGAGAGCCACAAAAATACCGTACTAAGATAATACCTCAACCAATGACAGTCAAGGATTTTCCTGGTGGGAAATGTGTGATCTCAAGGTCAACTGATCAGCCTATGCGAGAAAGCATAAAATCCAACATTATGACCTGTATCAAGTGAGTTCTAGGGGATCTAACGTCCCCAACATGATATATTGTTAACTAAATCAAATTGAAGTCCTAGACGTGTATAAAATTTCCAATCTTATCTCGTATTCAGATAATTTCAAGACTATTGATATTTATATGGTTTCACAAAAATTCCACATTAATAACACAGTCATCATTCTATTCTCCTCATTGATAAACAACAGATCGTTAAAATTAATCATTCAAAATAGAGTGATATTTGACGACCTTAATTAATTAACGTTCATCATCAAATTTAAACAGAATAATCATAATTCATTTTAAATGATCAATCATATCATTAGAAATAAACAATCTCATCAATGATTGGTTGAAAATAATAGTTGACTGTCGTCCCACCACCACCACCACCATTAAACTAATTTTTCAATTAACCAATATAAATTCAGTCAATTAATTAGATGATACCAGTGAATGAAAGAAAGAAAAGAAAAAAAAATATGTTATTCGATGTTTATTAGTCCGCTTTCATTTATCCACCAATCAATGGCATCACAATAGAGGTAGGTATGTGAGGTCTGTGCATTTTGATTGGTTTAACGGCCGTTAGAGAAATGAAGTTTTCTAGAGTAGGCCAACCGGAAATATGGAATGTGAAATTGAATAGTGTATGTTATGTGATAGGCCTGTTATGCATTTTTATCTGTCTACCTCACCTAACTAACTATATATCTCTACCTCTTCTATACCTACCTACCTTCTAACAACCAATATTAAGAATCCATTATATTGTGATGTGATGTTAGGACAAGAAGGCCTTGAAAATGAGTTTTCAATCTCTCTCTCTCTCAAGAAAAAAATGTCTATCCACCCCTCTCTCTCTCACTTTGGTGTATATCAATTTTTAGACAGTTTGACAGGTCATTCATTTTACATTGAACACAGAGGCGTTCAAAGCGTACAACCAGTATTATTATTCATATAATGCGATAATATTTCTGACACGTTTTTGACAGTTTGACGGCGTTTTATCCAACAACTGCATAAACTCCATAGTCTAATTTATCTCGTCAAGACCAACTGCGTGACTTATTATTATCATTCTAGTGTGTTATTGTGTATGTGAAGCATGATCAAGTCCAGTCAATGTGTGTATGATAGATGAGCAATTTTCATTCCAAAATGGCCTTCAAATTGACAGTTTATTAATTTATCTAAAACAGAAAATAAAAAATTAATAATCATATCCTGTTTCAACATTACCACTATTATTATTATTACTATTATTTTTATTATCGATCGATCGATCAATCAACGGATTGCCCAGAAAAAACTACTATTGAACACATTGAACATAATTGAACACATTGAACATATTTACAGCGCACATTTCAATTTCTATTGAACGCACAACTACAACATAGACATTCAATTTCATTGATCAGTTGGTTAGTTGTACTGTTTTGGAAAAATACAAATTATTTGAATACGTATCGCAATACTTCACAATTGATTCCGTGGTGGATTATTACTGACGTTCTGTTTCATGTATAAAAGAAAAAATCCAAACATATTGATTGATTGATTGATTTGAATAAAAGATGGAATATGATGATACAGTGACTCAGGATGGATTTCTTAATGTTAGATTCTTTTGAAAACTGATTTCTCAGAAGCGAAAAAAACAAGAAATTGAAGCTGAAATTTATTGATTTTGGATATACTCTCTGTGTGTGTCTGTGTGCTTGTCTGTATGTATGTGTGGTTGTGCGGTTCCCTATTAAACAGTCATATATTAATTCATTGTGGATTTTAAATTTATTGAAAAAAGAATATCTACAATTATGAATTCAAACAGTACCAATAATAATAATAGTAATAATAATAATCATAATAAACCTCGGCAGGTAAGTAAACATGGTTGTTGATTTTTTTTTATTCAAATTGTCAAACTTTAGAAATTTTTATTGATTTGAGTTAAACACTGACACTTTTGTATGTTGACTTAGTGGGCCAGAGAAGGTTAAGCGTTCGTTAACACTAGACTGGTTCGTTCTAGATTTGAATACTGTGAGTAACCGGCAGTTATGGATGATAGTGCCTTCATACCTAGGATGAAGTAGTCATTCAGTCAGTGCTTCCAAGGTTTCTAATGCTCTGGTCTAACAGTAGTGATTCATTCAAGGTTAGAAATGATAAAGAAAAATCATTTTGTCTTATAAACTCAACTGATCATATAAAAGATTAACTAGAGTTTTGAATGTATCCGTTTGAATGAATGATTGAGATATAAAAAAAAGTTTTTTTAAATTTTTACAAGTTGATTATAACTCAAATCATCAAGTTCTATGTATATATTCATATGCATAAATTACTGTTCACTGATTTACTGTCACTTTCCCCTTGCCTCCCTCATTCTCCCTCTCTCTCTCTGTCTATCACTTACTCTTAATTGAATGGAATAGTATCAAAAAAATGAGGTGATATTTTAAAGGAAAAATTTGTTTTTTCCCACTTTGCAATCCCATTCATTTGTGTTCAACTTACTTTCTGCATTGTTTGTGCATTGTGTAAAATTGGAGTAAAATTGAATGAATGCATAGGTAGCCACCAGCTCTTCTATGTGGGATTATATACTAAGTGACTAAGATTATCCATGTGTTGAGTCGAGTAATATTAACTACCTATTAAAGTAACTAGTTAGATTTATTTCATGGAGAAACTAATTACCTACTTACTTACTTACTTACTTATTGAAAGTTGTTCATTCCAATATACTATGCTCTATAGTTATTCTCTATGAAGACATAATCATAATATCTCTGTGATGATAGATGAGTAACTTATTAACTGACTTTAGTTTGTTACTCTTAATGGAGCTGACGATTAGCATTCTTCAACTTACTCTGTACTGCGTCTTATTTTACTAATTCTGTCATCATGTCTGTTTTCAATTGTTGGCGAATTATGTTCTCTTTGTGTGTCGCTCTTATTCTCTGATCTTAAGGATTTAGATTTATGACTTTCCTTATGATATAGTTTGATGCTTGCCTCAATATATGTCCTATCCTCTTCCAGAGCTTCTTCGTAAATTTTTTCCTCACCTAGAATCTAGTTTGTTCTCCTCCACAGTACACTGTTACTATTGATGTTTTCTCGTTAACGCATAGACAACTGTAAATAAACACTTGTATGTTGTGTATAACAGTGTTTGTAATTCTCCAAGTTTCTACTCCATACAATTGAACTGTTTTGACGTTAATATTGACAGATGGCTCAAAACAGTTTGCAACGGCGCCGGTGCATTTATTCTTTGTGTTCTCTCAAATCCTAATCTTCTGGATTCTTCAACACCTCTAGTTTTGACTTTCTAAACTTATCTCATTGAATCATACTTTTTGAATAATATCGCCTAGTCTTAATCTCTCCGATTACTTCTATTACCTTGACTACCTCTTCTACTATTGAATCGACAATTACATCTCTGTGCTGATGTGGTATGGCAACATGAATTGATGTACTTACGTACGTAGTTCTACGTTCCCACTGACTGACTGATATTGACAGATGTGTGTGTGTGTGTTCAAGTTCCAGAAAGTGACGTATGAGCCAATCAATCAACCAGCCAATCAATAAATCAATAAACCGTAATCTATGCCTTGCAATGTTACACCTTCTAAGTTTTTTATCAGTTATTTTTATTGTGATAATAATTTTTTTCTACTTATCTGTTTATAAATACAGATGCTCCCTCTCTCCTCTTATTTTAGATTTCTTAAAATCTATTCTAATAAATATTTCCCTCAATACAACCGTATTATAGTTTATTGTATAACCGAAAAAAAATTGACCGACAGTATGCTTATCTATTATAAATGATCTAATCTGATTACATCATAAGGGAAAATATTTTACTGATAATTGAGTAATTGATAGCAAACTATACTAATTTTAAATTTCAATTTATTTCACTGAATTAGTATACTTCTTGGAACCCTGATCTTCTGTTCATTACTGCTAAAACTTCTACTCCTAGTACAACTACTACTACTACTAGGAATCCAGAAGATTAGGGGATTTGAGAGAGCACAACGAATGGATGCACTTGCGCCATTGCAAACGATTTTGAGCCATGTCACTCAAAGTCTCTAACCATTGGTGACTTAGCTAGAGACCTTGAATGACATGGCTCAAGACAATGGTTTGCAATGGCGCAAGTGCATCCATTCTTTGAGCTCTCTCAAATCCTAATCTTCTGGAATCGTCAACGCTTCTACCTTTGTCTTTTTAACCTTATCTCACTGAATTATATACTTCTTAAATAATATCTTTAAACCCTAGTCTTCTTCATTAGTACCATTAATACCTCTACTATCTTTATCACTATTGGGATTTGATTTGACATTTGCGTCTCTGTGTGTGCTAATGTGGTATGACAGCAACATGAACTTATGTACATACGTACGAAGTTCTACGTTGTTACTCATTGACTAACTGACTGACTGAAATGCTAAACTGTCATGAATAGAATTCCATCAGTATTGATCAGTGTATATTTCAATTCGATTGAATTACTGTCCTTCCAACAACAAAAAAAACCCGAATTACTTAGCTAATAATGTGTTGACTTATGAAACCAATTTAGATCAACAGTTTCCGGTCTAATATATACTTGAATTTTATTGATTGTTAGTTAAACAATTGACTTTCATAACTCACAGAGAATACAATAAGTGAGTATTATTATGTTTGACATTTGAGTATATACAAACCTGAACCAAATGATTAAAGATATTCTACACTTTCTTCTGTATTCTTTAGTCTACTCTTTTGTTTTGATGTTTATATAAAAGGTTTGGTTTATTTAGTTTATAAAAATAATGACTATAATTTGAATGGATCGAGTTTCCATTTGTCTTCTTGATATATATAACAAGAAATTTTTATAAGACACAGAATAAAAATTGTACAGTTGTTATTCAGCACTATTGAACATTTAACAACCCCAAATAAAATTACTCTGAAGTGATATTTATATTGAGAAATTCCCCTTCATCATTTTAAACAAGAATTTCGCGCTTTTTTTTTTTAAGAAAAATGGTTAAAATAAATCATAACAAATTGAAACTTCATTTCATTTAGAAAACTCATTATTTTAAATGTTCATTTGTCTTCTTAGCTCAACAATGTTCAATATGATATAAAGAGAATTTTGAATTTGGTTTTGAGATGGTTGAGAAAACTTATAGCTTAGATGGATGATTGTGGTGGTTGTGTTTAGTTCTCTGAGTTGGTTGTATTGGTTGTGGAGCTTTCATTGTTCTTCCACTGAACAACATCATCAGCACAAACTTCAGATAGAAGTGAAGCATTCGAATTTCTCCACGTTTGACCTGTAGCTGTTCAAGGTTAGCAGAACAAGCTACAGGTCAAACGTGGAGAAATTCGAATGCTTCACTTCTATCTGAAGAAGTTTGCGCTGATGATGTTGTTCAGTAGAAGAGCAACAATGAAAGCTCCACAACCAAAACATCCACCCAACTCAGAGAATCAAACACCACCACGAACTTGGTTTTGCCCTGTTAATTCTAAGAAATTTTTATAAACAGTATAAAATTCAATGTTTACATCATGATTGATCGGTTTATGTATTCAGACAGAGAAAATGAAATTCTAAATCAGTCATTATTTTTAATTTGTAGGAATCACTTAATTTTAATCACTCTTGTACTCACTAATGATGCCTGCCTTGGCATGATGTGTTCTGTGGTCTTCCTCTTTTCGTTTGGATTTCATCATTTTAAATTAGATCTTACCTTGTAATATGTAGTCTTGATGTTCAGTCAATATATATATATTTCCTAAACCCTAGTCTTCTTCATTACCATTAATACCTCTACACTATCTTTATCACTATGGGATTTGATTTGACCATTGCGTCTCTGTATGTGCTAATGTTGTGGTATGGCAACTGATGAACTGATGTACGTAGGTACGTACATACGAAGTTATACGTTGCAACTAACTGATTGACTGATATATTTCCTATCCTACTTTCAATGTTTCTTCCTCATTCAGTTAGAAGCTTGTTTCTTCTGTTCTTCAACAATAAGTTTCTTATTGATGCTGTTTGGTAAATGAATCTCGAGTAAATTGCGTATATCAATACTTGTATCTTTTGAATGATCACAACGTTCATTGTTCTTCAAATTTCCTCTCGGTATACACTAGAATTGTGTTAATATTTCTATGATGATACAGTATATGTTTGTAATGATAATCAGTTCGTCAGTCAGTCAGATGCAACGTAGAACTTCGTCCGTACGTATAGTACATCAGTTCATGTTGCCATACCACAACATTAGCACACACAGAGATGTAATTGTCAATTCAAATCCAATAGTAGTAGTAGAGGTAGTAAAGGTATTAGAAGTAATCGGAGAGGTTAGAATTAGAAGATATTATTATTCAAGAAGTATGATTCATTGAGACAGTAACGACAATCAGATGAATTTTTTTCTACTGATATTTTATTTTAGTAGTCTAGTTAATAGATTACGTAATTATTTTAACGACATCATGGATTTATGTCATGGTTTTGATTTGGCTGTCCCCCCTAGATTTCTTTCAACCTTACCCCTATACATCAGACAGGAGGCTGTCAAGCTGAAACGTAATACAAATCCATAAAGTCATTGACAGTTGAACTGAGCCATGTTCAGAAGTGTAGACTATTCAGTTAGGGTCCATGAGACAATCGTAAACCGATGACTAGAGGGAGAACTTTGAATGATATGGCTCAAAATTATATGCAATGACGCACAGCTGCATCCATTCATTGTGTTCTCACGAATTCTAATCATCTGAATTCTTCATATTCACCTCTCTCTTTCTAAATTTATCTCAT